CTGCCTCTCTTTCTCTCTGTGTCTCTCATGAATAAATAAATAAAATCTTAAAAAAAAAAAAAGAAAGAAAGAAAGAAAGAAAGAAGAAAGAAAGAAAGAAAGAAAGAAAGAAAGAAAGAAAGAAAGAAAGAAAGAAAGAAAAAGTAAGGATTCTGAGCCTCGCTGAGCAGCACTTTTCCTACCCTGGATGGATGTCTTGGTCTGTTCGGGCTGCTATACCAAAATACCACCACTGAGGTAGTTTATAAACAGAAAGTTATTGCTCACAGCTTTGGAGGCTGCAAGTCTAAAATCAAGGCCGCAGCCTGGTCACCTTCTGACAAGGGTCCCTTCCTGGGTCACAGCAGCTGCCTTCTTGTTGTGTCCTCACAGGGTGGAAGGGGCTAGAGGTCTCTCCAGAGCCTCTTTTATGAGGGAATTCATCCCATATATGAAAGCTCCATCCTCAGTCCCTAAGCACCTCTCAAAGGCCCCACCTACTAATACTATCACCCTTGGAGGTCTGAATTTCAACCTATGAAATTGCGGGGACACATTCATACCCTAAAACTGGGGGAAAGAAGGTCCCCCAGGTGATCTATGGTTTCTGGGCAGGGATTTATCTTTGCATCCCTAATCCTGGTATCCAGATGGTGCTGTTTGTTACATGGACAAATAATAAGGGCTAGAAACCATCTGTAGAAAGAACAGAAGCACAGCTCTGAGCCTGAGACAGAAGCCCAGTTTTGGGAGGTCTGGCTCAGTGGCATCAATACCACAGAGCTTTAGGCCTGGGGTTCAAATCTGGATTTAAGCACATAACAGGCTGTGATCTCAAGCACCTTCTTGTGGCCTCAGGAAACAGGTCCCCCAGCAGCTCAGCCTCTTCCTCCCATGGTCAGGGCAAGAACCACAAGACTTTGCTTAAACAAAACAGGTGAAGTGAGTTTCTGCTCTCACCTGAAATTCCACTCAAAAGACAGTAATTTTTTAAATGGCATTAAATGACAAGGATAGAATGGGCACAAAAAGAGATAATCACAGACTAGAAAGGTCAGTAAAGTTTGAGAAGTGGGCAAGCTGAGAGCAGAGTGCTCTCTGATCTAACAAAGCTGAGCCCAAAGTCACATGGAGGGGAAGTCAGCTAGAAGAAAATCCATCGTCACCCCTGGACCCTGGTAAGGGTCAGGAATCAGGGGCCGAAGCGCCCACTCGGAAAGCAGGACTTAAGGGTGAGGCTGAAAATAGGAAGACTGATTGAACAGCTAGATACCAAGACACCTCCAATTCAGTAGTTTTTCCCATCCTTGACTCCTTTCTCTCAACCTCCATCTTCCAATCTGGTTGGCACTCTACCTTCAAATACAGGCAGAAAAATCTGCATCCCACACCTCTAAGAGGCCATCTCCCACCACTTACTCCCTCCATTCCCACACCCCCTTGCTTTTACTAGACACATAGGTGCACACCCACCTCTAGGCCTGGGCCTAGGCTGTCCTCACTTCTGGAAGCACTCTCCAGATATCTTCACAACCACTCTCTCCCTGCCTTCATACCTCCTGCTCATACATGCCGCCTTCTCTGACTGCTCCCCATCTCCCTTGGCCTGGCTTTTTCCTCCAGTGCTTTTCCTCACCTGATGTTTTACCATATATTTGCTTACCCCTGTCACCCCTATGGAAGTATCAGCTCTTCCTGGGCATGGATTTGTCTATTCCATTCACTGAAGTATCCCCAGAGCTTAGAACAGCGCCCAGAACATGGTGGGTAATCAATATGTGTTGAACAAATAAATGTAGAACGGAGAAACCAAACTGAAGACCTCAGCAAAGAACAGGAAGACAGAATCATTACTAACATTCAGTAGATTACAGCAAAACAACCTTGGATGGGTGGTCTCATTGCTCCCAGAAAGGGGAACGGAATACACGGAATCTTTACATGTCGAAATCTTCAGCAGATCCAACCCGGAAAGAGTGCACATCTCTTCCCCAATGCTAAGAGAAGCATATCATGTCATCTGTGCTCACCAGCACCTGCTCAGAGGCTGGCACACCACCGGGGCTCAATAAATGTTTGCTGAGGAACTGGAGAAAGCAGACAGCAACAGAAAAGAGGAAACAAAAAGAAGGACTGGTGTATCACTGATACAGAAAAGTGCAGTGGTCTCAGGCCAGGGAGAAAGGCTGAGTCCACACTATGTAACACCTTGGATGCCAAAACTTTTGACCCGAAGGCTGGAGGGTGGGGGGGGACCCTTGAAGTAAATTTGCACAGGCAAGTGACTGTTTCAGAACTCAGAATGAAGAGCCAGCCGTGGGAAGAGCTGAAGGACAGAGGTATCAGGCAAAGTACAACCAAGATGCAAGTGTGGCTCAGCAATGATTGGGGTAGTTAGAAATCAGGCTGGAGAGGCACCTGGGTGGTTCAGGCGGTTAAGCTTCTGCCTTGGCTCAGGTTATGATCCCGGGGTCCTGGGATGGAGCCCATGCATTGGGCTTCCTGCTTAGTGGGGAACCTGCCGCTCCCTCTCCATCTGCCGTTCCCCCTGCTTGTGCTCTCTCTCCCCCTCTCAAATAAATAAATAAAATCTTAAAAGAAATCAATCAATCAACCAACCAGTCAGGCTGGAGCCATATAAGGTAGGGGCTTTCAATTCTCATCCCCAAATTAGAGACAGATTTTTGACCCAGAAAAAGATAAAGATCCATGCTTTGGTGGCAGATGGAAACTACCTTTCCTTTCCCAAAAAACCTGACTCCTAGATATCCTTATAGGCAAGGAGAGGTCTTATTCGTCTGCATAGCCTCATTATATCTAAAAAGCTCAAAATTATTTGCTAAATGAAGTAAATCAGAAACCCAAAGGAAAAAAAAAAGAAAAAAAAAGAAACCCAGAGAAAGAAAATTTAAAAAAAAAAAAAAAGAGGTCTACTAACAAAGTGGTGAGGGCAGAGAACTTTTGTTCATGGCACCACTATTTATCACTAAAAATAGTACTCAGGAGAGACATCAGTGAGTATTAGAAAATCATAGTATTATGGCTTTATGACCCCAGAAAGGAGTGGGTCCAAAAGCAGAATGAGGTACTGGGGAAAAAGCTTGACATTTTAGACTGAGCTGTTCTAACAGGATGTATGAAAGACCTTGGGTAGGTCATCTCCTCTGGTCTTCAGATCCCCGAAACAAACTAAGGGAACCAGACTGACTATTCACCAAAGAATTTCTGGGTGAGTTCCAACTCTCTGTGTAGCTTTACTTTCTCATGTGTCCACCATCCCTATCAACAGGCACAGACAAGATGCCCACGAGTGATCTGTTAAATGAATGAAGACCAACTTCTCATCTTACAAGACTGGAAACTGGGGCCTGGTTAGATGGCAGCTCAGGGACAGAAAGCTAGTTAGTGGCGGTGAGTGGGGAGGCCCTGGGACTCCTGGGTTCTTCAGCAGAGGTAGGAACAGATGAAGGAAAGCAGAGAGAGGTGGGAGGAGATGGGCACTTTGCTGGAGGAGTGGAGGTGGTGGAAGTGGAAGTGGAGGTGGTGGAGGAGGAGGTGGTGGAGGTGGAAGTGGAGGTGGAAGTGGTGGAGGAGGTGGAGGAGGAGGAGGAGGTGGAGGAGGTGGTGGAGGAGGAGGAGGTGGTGGAGGTGGAAGTGGAGGTGGAAGTGGTGGAGGAGGTGGAGGAGGAGGAGGTGGAGGAGGAGGTGGTGGAGGAGGAGGAGGTGGTGGAGGTGGAGGTGGAGGTGGTGGAGGTGGAGGTGGAGGTGGTGGAGGTGGAGGTGGAGGTGGTGGAGGTGGAAGTGGAGGTGGTGCTGTTCCAGCTGAGAGCTCCTGGAATCCAAGGGGCGCCAGACGGGGCGGTGATCAGACTGCGGAAGCTCGAACCCCAGCTCCAGGACCGACGGGGTCCGGTGCCTCAGGCGTAGTAGGCGCTCGGTAAATGCACCCGTGGGTGGCACTTTTAGCACTGCTGTGCAGCGCGTGCGAAGGAAAACGCGCGATGTGTGGTTAAAAGCGGTAGTAAAGGGATCCCTGGGTGGCGCAGCGGTTTGGCGCCTGCCTTTGGCCCAGGGCGCGATCCTGGAGACCCGGGATCGAATCCCACGTCGGGCTCCCAGTGCATGGAGCCTGCTTCTCCCTCTGCCTGTGTCTCTGCCTCTCTCTTTCTCTCTCTCTCTCTGTGACTACCATAAATAAATTTAAAAAAAAAAAAAGCGGTAGTAAAAACAATAAATCCCCAATTACAAGCCAGAGGAAGCGGGCTCAGCACTTCCCGTGCCCCCCCCCCCCCCCCCAGTTTACAATGCTCCCACGTGCCGATCCTACTGAGGTCCGGGTTCGAGGCTCAGAGTGACCTTGGACCAGCCTCATTCCTCCCGGTCTCCGTTCTCTCATTTGCAAGGCGGAGGTGGCGGCCCCACCGCCAGGCCCTCCCAAGGGTCCCGAAGAGGGGGCCCCGGGCCGCCCCTGGAGCCGCTCGCGCCCGCAATGGGGTCGCGGGACGCCGGGGCCTGCACGGCCGCGGGGGGGGGGGGGGCAGCCCCGCATGTCCCCTGCAGGCCCTCGTAGGCCGGTCTCCAAGGCAGCCCGACCTCCCTACCTCCCTACCTTCCTGCCGGCAGTAGGCCATGGCTGCAGCCCCGGGGCTCAGACCTGGCGGCGGTAGCGGTGGCGGCGGCACAGGCGGCAGCGGGCTCACGCGGTGACCTCTTCTTAGGCAGGGCGGGCGGCTCCGAGGCCCACGCGGACCCGCCCCCTCCAGGCCTGCCCGCCGCGCGCCTGCCTCCGCGCCCTCCCAGCCCCAGCCCGGCCCCTCTCAGCTGGGAACTACATTCCCCAGGGACGCGCGCGCGGCTCGCGGCTCTCCGGGGCAGTAGGAACTACATATCCCTTAATGACTTGCGGCGCGCAGGCGCATCAGTGAGGTCCGCGGCGCGATGCCGCGTGGTGGCTGCGGCGCCTGCCCCGGAACTACATATTCCAGGAGGCCTTGCGGCGCGCTGGAGCCGGAGGGCGGTGGCCCGCGGGGCGGTGACTGCTGCGCGTCCTCCCTGATTCTGGGGTTCACGCGAATTTTCGCAGCTCTCGAGCAGGCGGGAGGCCGCCGGGCTCTGCCCGCAGGCGGCCAGCCCCTCCCGTAGCCGAGCAGAGCGAGGGCGAGCGCCCAGCCGACCGGGTCGCGCGATGGCCGCGAACGTGAGTGTCTCCTGGTCCGCCGCACCCCACCCAGGCCTCCCCGCTCCTGGTAGCGGCCGCCTGGGTCCGACTTGCCGGCCTGACGCTCGTCGGCGCGTGCGGCCCTGCGCCCTCTGCGTGGCCCTGTCCCGGCTGTCCGGGCCGCGCGTTTGCGGGGCGGGGTCTCAGGAGGTGCGGTGGGTGCCGGCGTCGGGGTCTGTGCGCAAGGCGCCCTCCCGCAGCCCCTGCTGCCGCTCTCGGTGCCCGCCTGGGCCCTTGCGCTCCTCCTGCAGGGGCTGCGAGAGCCGGCGCGACCTCCGAGGCGCCAGGGAAGCCGGTACCGCCCGGGTGGGGCCCCTCTGCGGGCCGACTGCAGTGCGCGGGCGGCGGGGGGCCGGGAGCAAGCGTACCCACGGCCCGGCCCCTGTGTCCTCGGGTGTGTTTGGCTAGAGGGGCCCTGGCCGAAGGTGGTCCCTCCGGAGGCCTGCTGGCCGGGTCTCCCCGCAGCCGGCCTGCCTCGGGGACTTTGCGATTCACGCCCAGCATTCATTCAACAAACCGAGCAGCACCTCCCTCCAGGGTGCTGGGTGTGGGAAGGCTGGTGACTCACCACTCCCCTCCTCTGTGGAAGTGCTTCTGGAGCCAGCGCTGGTGCCCTGCCAGCCCCAGCACACTCCCTCCCTCCTGCTTTGCTGGAGTGTCCTAGCCACTGGCCCCTGGCCTGTTACACCGTCTTTCCGGCCTCGCTAATGCCCCCGCTAATGCCCCCGAGGGTCCTCCCTGCCCTCCACGCCCCTGGAGAGGCAGGGTCTGTATCACCCACAGCCCTAGTAGGCTCCACCTCAGCCAGAGTTGCCTGGGAGACCTAGAAGTCATGAATGCTGCGCCTAGGAAAGCCTCAGGGGTGGCCCAAGACCCAGGGTCTGCCAGGGGAGAGGACAGTCAGGAGACCAGCCTGCCCCCAGAGGTAGACCCCTGTCTGCCCTCATACAATATTTTACAGATTGAGGATTTGCCCACTAGGCAGGCACTTGCCTGGGGTCTCACAGCCTGCGTGGCCAGCTACTGCATGGGAAGATGCTGAAGAGAGCAGGCTTTGGAGTCAGGCCGACCTGGGGGCAAATCCAGTTTCTTCCTCTGAGAAGCTGTGTGGCCTTAATCACTCTGGGCCGGTGTTTCTTCGTGGGACCTGTTAGTGTGAAGTTTAAGGGAGTCAGCCTGTGACTAGCACAGTGCCTGGTGCAGAGAGGGTGCTTACTTAATGCATGAAAAAAAAAAAAATCTAGGTTCACAGTCTGCCGCAGATGGCCCTGGTGAGCAGAGACTCTCTTGGGTGTACTGGCACCTGTCTTTTGCCAAGGAATGTGTATGAATGTGGGTATCTTCTGCAGCCAAACCTTTGTTGAGTCATCCCGGGGCTGGCTGCACGTTTACAGGAGCCACCAGGCCTGGTGAGGAAGAAAGATCTGAAGGTGGTGGGGTGGTGCAAGGAGGTGGCATGATTTCTTCATCGATGCAACGAAACTGCCCTGGGACAGAGGTTCTGTGAACCATCTCCATTTTACAAGTGAGCAAATAGGATCAGAAGGTTAGATAGCAAGTAATACAGGGTAATTTTCAGGGCCCGTGTGTAACCTCTGTTCCATCACTCATTGCTCTTGCTCAGGAGCCTAGAGTGCTCATTGAGGACATGCATATGTATTCAGCACATATCAAGGAGCCAACATCAAGATAAGGGGCTCAGAGGTGGCCTTGAAGGGGGAGAAGAGAGGCATTGGAGGGTGGCCCTCAGGCTAGGGAAATAGAGTGGGTAGTGAGCTGTGGGTGGAGGAAATCTCTATGATCCTCCATCCCAAGACCATCCATGTTTACTGGATTTTTTTTTTGGAATGTGGGCTGAGTGTGTCATGTCAGTGCCCACCTTGCCTGAGCTGCACCCTCCTGTGCCTCTCTTTCTTCCCTTCAAGGTCTTCCATGAGCTCCTAGATGTGGCTCCTAGATGTATGCTGAGGGGAGGCCCAGAGTTCTGGAAGTCATGCCCTCTGGCTTCCCAGTTGGGGGCTGCACTGCTAATAGCAGGATGGACTCCCTTTCCTGACACTCTCTGCTGCTGGCTCCCAGCATTCAGCTCTCCTTATAGCCCAATAAGTGAGGAATGTGGCTTGGAGCACAGTGGTAGAAGAGTGGCCTCTGGTCTGTCCAGATATGAAACCTAATTCTCCCTCTCAGAGGCTGGGTGATCTGGGCTGGTGACTTAACTGATAAGCCTTGGTTTTCTCAGCTCTGAAATGGGATAGCAATGGCTTGCCAGTGACTGGCCTGTGATAGACTGGCGTGGTGCCTTCGCCATCATTATGATGGTGGATGGCCACCTACCTGCCTGCAGTGAACTGCTCTATTAACGTTTCCCAATGGAATTGGAAGTTAGACCGTTTCTGAGTGTAATGAACATCTGGTCCCTGCGGGTCCCTGCTGGAGCATTGGGGGACAGTCAGAGATTATGGCATCAGCCTTATTTGGGCAGAGGCTGACCTGAATCTCTCCTCTGGTCCCCTGTGCCAGGCGCTTGGCTCACTCCAAGTGCGCATCTCAGAACCACTGTCCACCTTTGTGACTTCTGTCAGCTTACCCCCAGCCGTGGCACCAGTCTCGGGTGCCCGTTACAGAGAAAGCTGGGAGCATTCCCACCAGCTAGCACCTGTACATTCCACCTTGTGTCCTGGGCACTGAGCTGCCTGATAATTAAGTCCTTTGGTTCTCTCCACAACCCTGTGTACTGGATTTTCATCCCATTTTACTGCTGAGGAGATGGAGGGCATAAGAGGGATAATTACTCACCCAAGGTCTCATAGCCTGAACACAGACCCAGCACTCTGGCTCCAGGGTCCCTTGACGATGATTCTCCGTCAGCAGTGGACACACCTCAAACCATGCTTTTGTTATCAGCTGGATAAAACCTGACCCACTGACTCTGGAGATTGAGGCCTACCACAAACCCACCTGGATGTGTCTGGCTGCCCTCATCTCCCTCCACCTTGTGCCTCCCCAAACCCAGCCAGAGCTCTGCTCCCAGAACTACTTCCTGCTTCCTCACCATTGCTCAAACAGTTCCCCCTCCGAGGGATGCTTTACGCCAGGGTCTGCCTCTGAGATCCCAATCAAACGGCCCCTCCTCTGGGGAGCCTGCTGAGATCCCCAGCTGGAAGGGGTCACCCATTTAGCCCTGGATCTGCTCCTCACCAAACACTCAGCATGGCCTAGTACCGTGCATGCTTGCAACTCACTGGCCCTGCAGCCTATCTTCCCTTCCCTCACTCCTAGAAGATCCAGCACGGCCCTTGGGAAGCTGAGCCACCGTGTGTTGAATTGAATGAATAACACATGCCTAGTTACGGCTTTGGAAAACGGTTTGACGGTTTCATAAAAACACACCTCTTCCCTATGATTCAGCGATCTCACCCCTCTGTGGGTATTCCTTACCTAGTACCCAAGGAAATGAAAGCCCTACGTCTTCACAGAAACTTCTCCAAAAACGTTCATAGAAGCATTGTTCATGATAGCTAAGAACTGGAAGTAACCAAAATACCCACCCACTGGTGAATGAGTTGACAAACGTGGTATACTCATGGCTGGAGCGCTACTCGGCCACATACAGGAGTGAGCTACTGATACACACCACAGGGTAGATGACCCTCCTCAGAATCTGGACAGAAAGAGTTTGTGGTGTGTGATGGCCCCATTTGTTCCATAAGAGGCCAACTCATCTATAATGATACAAATTCAAATCGTTGTTAACACTAGGGAGTGGGAGAGGAGAGTGTTGGCAGGAAAGAGGCACAAAGTAACTTTCTGGGATGATAGGAACAATCCCTGTCTTGATCTGGATGCTGGTCAAATGGAGTAAGCATTTGTCAAAGCCTATCAAACCAGGTGCTTAATATCTGCATTTTTACTGTATGTAATCGAAACTCGAACAGTATACACAAATAGCAAAATTCAGTTTATTTTTTAAAAAACTAATTTTCATTTTGATTTTTTTTTTTAATATTCTTTTTCTCAGTATTCCAGTACGAGTAACAGGAGAGAACATGTCAAAACTACGACCAAGCCCCAGCCAGGCTTCTTGGAGCGGCTCAGCGAGACCTCGGGTGGGATGTTTGTGGGGCTCATGACCTTCCTGCTCTCCTTCTACCTAATTTTCACCAATGAGGTAAAATGTCTAGAGTCCCGCTGTGCAAAGTGAGGGTCCCTGGAGGATAGTCTTCCTAGCAAAGGGTGTGAATCCAGAGGTTGGATGTGGCCCAGATTTTACAACAGGTGGGATGGAGGGGGACAGTGATGGTGCTGAATTAATCAGAATCTTTCTCGTGTGACTTATCTCATAACTGACTTAAGTAGGAAGATGAATGGATCAGTTCACAGGCCTGAAATCCTAAGGTAGGACTAGCTTCAGGCATGGCTGGATCCAGGTGCTCATGTTGGGTCACTAGGAATCTCCATTTTTCCATCTTTTGCCTCTGCTTCTCTATTGTGGGCTTTTCTTTGACAGGTTCTTCCTTTGTGGTGGTAAAGGTGGCTCAGCAACTCCAGGGTCACATGTAACCAGCTTAGCAGCCCCATCTCTTTCAAAATCAGTATAGCAAAAGTTGCAGAGAGAGGTCTCAGTGTCCTGGCTTGTCTCAGTCCTCTCTCTGAACTAATATTTGTGGACAGTGGACCCCTGTTTGATTGGCTCGGCCTAAGTCACATGATACAGAGGCCCCCGCCCCCCATAAACCACAAGAACTGAGAAGAAGGCAGGCAAGAGGGTGGAGGAAGACAGGGAGGGAGCACACAGCAGACAAAAGGACCAGCTGCTCCCAGCATGGGGTAGTGCTGAGAATTAGAGGGTGTGGGTGTGGGGTGGGTGGTGCAGCAGGAAGAGAGCTGCCTGGAAAAGCAGGAGCTTTGGCTCTAGTTCCAACCATGCCACTTGCTAGGCCTCAGTTGTCCAACTGTAAAATGGGGAGATAAGTCCTCATGCTTCCTGAGGCCCTCTCCTGCCAAGATACATTGCAGTGAGCACAACTGTGCTGAACCACACCTGAGTTGAAATCCTCACTCCCTTTTGCTCCCAGGGCCGCGCACTGAAGACAGCAACCTCCCTGGCCGAGGGGCTCTCGCTTGTTGTGTCCCCCGACAGCATCCACAGTGTGGCTCCGGAGAATGAGGGGAGGCTAGTGCACATCATCGGGGCCCTGCGGACGTCCAAGGTAGGTGTGGTGAAGGTTGCTGGCCCCACCGGACACTCAGGGTACGTTGCTAGATGTTGTCTGGTTGAGGATTTTTGAGTGCCCGGGCTCTGGTGAGGGACACATGGGTGTGACTCCCGGCTGCACCACTCAGCAGCCACGTGGACCGATTGCTCCCGCATCTCAGCACCTTCATAAAATGCAGAGGATAACTGTAACAACTCGGGGGTGGGAACAGCTTTGAAGAGTCCATAGGATTAGATAGCTAATCTCCTTGCACGGTCCTGGGCACAGGGCAGGGGCCTTACAAGTGGGTGCTTCAGTGATGATGATAAGCCTGTGTGGCTGGTGTACGGCTGAAAGGTACTCTGGTTATCGGACCTCCTGTTTGAGCTCTAAATACACTGTCATTGGCACCATGCCATTGGGCCGTGCAGCCCGAGCAGGACCGGGAGGCTCATGGTCCTGGGCATTGGGTGTCAAGGACTTAGGACAGGCAGCCTTACCTGATCTTCCTGCCCAAAGCAGCCATGGTGGCCTTCATTCTCTCCTTGTCCGCTGTAACCTCTTTCCCATCTAGTCCCACTTTCTCTGGCATCTTGGGCTCACGTGAGTCTTGTCCTATATTTTATTTTTTTTTTCTCTGTTTGATTCTCTCCGAAGCTCTTGTCTGATCCAAACTATGGGGTCCACCTCCCGGCTGTGAAGCTGCGGCGGCACGTAGAGATGTACCAGTGGGTAGAAACAGAGGAGTCCAGGTGAGGCCCCGAGGAGTGAACAGTCCATCAGGGATAAAGAAAGTGCAGGTGGCAGGATACGTTGCAGGTGGCTTTTTATTTTGACACTTCCAAAGTTTAAAGTATGAAATCTTCCACTCAGAGAAATGTCAAATTATCCCAAAGTTCTTAGTCAATGATCTTTTGTGTGGAGGTGGCAGGAATCTAATGCAAGTGGCTCAAAGAAGGGAGGATGCTGCTTGTGGTAGAAAGTCACCCAGGGATGGGCAGGCTCGAGACATGCCTGGATCCAGGCTGCAAACGGTGCTTTCCTCTGTGTGGGCTCCATGGTCTCTCCCATGCCAGAGCAGAGGTGGCCCCGGGTTCCATCCTGTCTGTTCCAACACAAGCTGTCATTAGGCGAGGGTCGCTTAGAGCTGAGTGGCCTGGACTGTGAGTAAGGGATGGGGGGGGGGGGTGGCTCAGGGAACTGTGCTAGAGCACAGGGTGAAGCCAGGTTTCTGAGTCCAGAGGGTGGCCAAGTGGAGGCACATTTTATCTCAGGATGAGAAAGTTCTTTTCTCCAGCGTGGGCCTCCAAAGGACGGAGCTGGCTGTGTGGCTGGGAGTGAGTACCTGGTCTCTGGGCTGCTGTAGACAAGGTCAGCTCCATTTGGGGATTTTGACCTGGCAGCCCTGTGTTGCTTCCAGCTGGAGATACTCAGAGACAGGAATGCCTCAGGGGTGATAGGCTGACTCTGGGGCTGCCTGTGCTTTCCCTGCAGGGAGTACACGGAAGACGGGCAGGTGAAGACAGAGACAAGGTATTCCTACAGTGAGTACCACCCCCACCCTCCTGCACACACGTGGTCTCTGCCCTTAGCCAAGGCTGACAGCAGTAGGGAAGGCATGGAACCAGGCATTGGGAGCCCTGGGTGCCCATCCTGGGAGTCCTGCTCTTCCATCTGTCCAGTGAGGCTCTAGGAGCCACCCCTTCCGCCCTGCAGTGGCCATGGGCTTAGATAAAAGGACACAGAGCCAGTGGCCCTCAGACCAGTGGCCACTCTTACTATGGTTTCCGAGTTATTCCCTCTCCCTGTCACAGACACTGAATGGAGGTCAGAAATCGTCAACAGCAGAAACTTTGACCGAGAGATCGGCCACAAGAACCCCAGGTGAGAGCTGGGTGCCCAGGCCTGAGCATAGTCTTGCCTGCCAGTGGCAGGCCCCCGGCCCCAGCTTCCCCATCTGAGTGATGGCGTGGAGCTGCTTCTGCCTCATGAGTTGATGAAAGTCGGGGACATGGTTCTGAGGCCGGCTCCTGCGCTGGGCACCAGGCACATGGAGGCGAGAGCTGACTTCCTGAGACCACACAGGCTCCCTTCAAGTTGTGAATGTGAGGCCTGTACTGAGTGCCTGAAGGGATTTGCACATCCAGTGCCAGGGAAGCATTCTGTTACCGGCTGTGGGGGTGGGAAGACAATCAGAAGGACTTTCAGGAGGCCATGGATTTGATGTAGGCCTTTGTAGGATGTTGGCAGAGGGCAGTTAGCTCAGAGACATGGGGGTGGTGAGATGGGCTTAGTGGTGGAGCCATGGGAGGGGCTTTGAGTCTGCACCGTGGCTGGCACGGGAGCTCCCTGTGGCTGGGGAGGGCCTGGGAGGGTCTGAAGTCCATCTGACAGCGGGTGGCTGGGGAGGGGAAGGCCAGTAGGGGCCCTAGGTGAGAAGGTATGAAGTTCTGGGAGACAGGAAGAGGGTGCTCCACCCAGGCGAGGGGGACAGGAGCCTCCAGGGGCAGGTCTGGTAAACACAAGCTGTCCCCAGTGCCTGGGCTGGTCTGGACTGGCAGGAGCGCCTGGGTGGGAACCCTGCCTGGCACAACCCAGAGACCCAGAGGGCTCCTGGCCAGTACCCTGCTCTGCCAATAGCTCCTTCTGCCCCACAGCGCAATGGCGGTGGAGTCCTTCACGGCAACAGCCCCCTTCGTGCAGATTGGCAGGTTCTTCCTCTCAGCAGGTGAGTCTCTGGCCCCTTCAGATGACCCAGCAGCACCCAGAGGCCGTGTGCTTCTACTTGGCCGCCTCGTAGGAGCTGGGGTCCCCGCTGCCCCGGGTGTGGGATCGGCCTGCGCTTTCCCGGCATCATACGTTGGGCTGGGGGCCAGAGGGAAGGCAGGTAGGTCCCCGGGAGGTGGGAGACTTGTGTAGAGCAGCCCCATCCCAGCCAGGTTCCCCTGAAGGCGGTCTCTTCCAAGTACTGCTGGTGCCTGGTCTGACCAGACAGAGCTGAGAGCCCTTCCTAAGCGGTCCCAGAGCCAGCGGTAGAGACAAGGCTGCCCCCCACGGGCTCCACCTCTGAGCCCCACCCAGCGTGCAGCAGTTCACTGCAGGCCCCTCCGAGTGACTCCAGACAGAGGCTTTCCAGGGACAAGGCAGCACGGCCGGCCACAGTGACTCCTGGGGTGGGAGAGAACACAGGCCCCAAATAGCCAGGGTAGGGAGGAGGGGTGGAGGCCCAGCGCAGTCAGGGCAAGGGAGGAGAGGCCTGGCCCTACGGCCTGGCTCGTGTGGCTGCTGTGCTGCTGGCTGCTGTGCCTGGCAGCCCTGGCCTCAAGTGTCATGCAAGCAGCCGGGGAGCCAGGCTCAGACAGGGGCTCAGGCTGTTCTCAAAGCCGCAGCCAGGGAGGCTTCCTAGAGGAGATGGAGACTGAAGGGGGCAGCACTAGGGAAGGAGGGATTGGAGATCCCGGCGCTCCCCTTGGGAAGGAGGTCAGGCTGTGGGGTGTGCGGATGGTTGGGAGGTTGTTTGCACACCAGTGTTGTAACCGCTGCACACTCCTCAGGCCTCATTGACAAAGTAGACAACTTCAAACCACTGAGCCTGGCCAACCTGGACGACCCGCACGTGGACATCATTCGCAGGGGAGACTATTTCTACCACAGCGAAAACCCCAAGTACCCAGAGGTACGCAGGGCTTTGGGCTGTTCATGTAGCGGAGATCAGGGCCTTGGAGTGCCCCTCCCCCCGTCTCCCCGCCCCACAACATAGAGGACGCACATTCCTGTTTGGGACTCGGATTCGGTTCAGTTTAATCCACCTGGCCAAATGAAATTGGAGGGGGCGCCTGGGCCACGGTGTGGAGGCGGGAGAGCAGTGTGAGCCTTGGGGTTCGGTGGTGCTGGGGACATGGGCCCAGGCTGGCTGCCCCGGGCCTCACACAGCCCCCCGCTCTTCACTCCCAGGTTGGAGACGTGCGCGTGTCCTTTTCCTACGCGGGGCTGAGCGGCGACGACCCGGACCTGGGCCCGGCTCACGTGGTAACCGGCTTCCCCGCGCAGACCCAGGCAGAGCCACCTCACCTCCCGCTGTGCACGGGGCCCTGAGCGCATGGGACCCTTCCTGTGTGCATGCACTCCCGCGGGCACACGGCAGGCGTGCCTTTGAGCGGCCTCAGCCCTGTGTGCACCACAGCTATCCATGGACACCCGTGGGCCCCAGGATAAGGGGCCTTTCTCCTGCTGCTTTAGAGGGCCCTCCTGGGAGAGTTCCTCCAATCGCACACTCCTTTTCTCCCCCCAGCTCCCAGGCTTTGCTCTGTAAATACTTGGTTTCAGGTCTGTGACCCTGTCACATGTCACATGCAGTTTCACCCCTGGCCCCGGCCCTGACACAGGCTTCTGCGCCAGGTCCTCCCTGGAGTTGTGAGTGGGCTGGATCTCCTCACTCTCCTTGCGGGCACATGGTGCAAGGGTTGCCGGGGCCTGGCTGCCTGATCCCCTCAGCTCTAACCCTGAGGTCTCTGACCAGGTCACTGTGATTGCCCGGCAGCGGGGTGACCAGCTGGTCCCCTACTCCACCAAGTCAGGGGACACCTTGCTTCTCCTGCACCACGGGGACTTCTCGGCAGAGGTGAGCTGCTGCTGCCCATCTGTGTGATGGAGGGGCAGGCGTCTCCCCCTTCCCTCGCCCCTCCCGTGGTTATTCAGCAAGCGCCCCCACTGGGAGCACAGCCAGCACACTGAGCAGGGGAGAAGGTGGCAGGAGTACGTCTCCCCGTGTGTGCAGCAGACCATGCATGGCACGGAGGACAGAAGGGGGGACACAGCGGACCCCTCCTTCTCCAGCCTCCCGTCTCCTGGGGGGAAGGGACTTGGCCAGGAGAACCGAGGAGTGAAGATGCCTTGCACTGAGTGTTGTGAAACGGAGGTGGGAGATGGACTCTGGGGAAGCCTCTCCCAGTGACAGTTTTGCTGGGTTACAAGTGACGAGAAAGGGGTCAGAGCCAGCAGCATTGGGGTCAGGCAGGAACAGGAGCAGCAGCTGCCACCCAGAGAGGACATGGGCCTGGGAGGCCCCCGTGACAGGTGGGGGCCTCTTTCTGAGCATTGGGGACCGTGCAGGGATCAGAGCAGCTGATCCTGGCACTGGAAGGAGGGCTGGCACTGTTCCCCATCTGTAAACACCTTCTTTGTGCAGATGGTGACTAGTTCAGTTGCAGCCCTTAAAAGTTAGCCTCTCGTTTCTAGGCAAAACCCGTGTCTTTAAGTTCCACATTGTTGACCGCACAGCACAGCGGTCAGCAGTGGGTAGTTCTGTTCCTGCCTGGAGGGCTGTGGGACTCTTCAACCCATAAGTGGGCAGGTTTGGGATGGGGGGGGGGCCTCCTGACCCTGGTGTTAGGCGCTCAGCTGCCATCCTTCCCACCCCAGCCCCAGCCCCAGCGGGGGATGGGGCTCACCTTCCCCCTTATCCAGCCAGGACCAGGGTGTGGCAGGCAGCTCGCAGCCTGTTACCAGCCTCAGGGCGGGGTTGCCACCTCCCAGTTGGGCGAGCATGAGTCATCCTTTCCATTGGTGACTCTGGGAGTTACTAAAATTAGGAGGCCCCATTCAGGCCTCCTCTCCCTCCTGCAGCTCTGGCCCCTCCCCACACTTACCTCCTGCAGGTGGAGGCCCAGGTCTCAGAGCTGTCCCCCAGAGAGGTGTGCTCCCAGGAGGGAAGGCTCAGACCGTGCTGACCACCCGGGGCCTCCGGTGCAGGGTCTGGCATCTCTGCCAAGCAGGGAGAGAAGGCCCTGAGCTAAGGAGGTGGCGAGGGCCCTGCAAGTCAGGATGCCCAGATTCCAGTCCCAGAGGCAGTGTGGACAAGTGTGGACACTGGGGTGGCCCCAACTCAAGCCCCGCGCTGCCTTCCTAGGGCTATAGGGCCTTGAGCCAGCTGTTTATCCTTTAGGATGAGAAGAATTATGATTACCTGATTTGGTTGTTGTCAAGATTATTTGTTCATTTATTCAGAGTCTCAATGTCCTTACCTGTAAACTGGAGGTAAGGGTGTCAACCTTGTGAAGTTAGTCTGAGGATTAAGAAAGGCAGTACTTGTAAAGCACTGAGGACAGCAACTGATAGATGGCAGGCAGTAAGTGGTGTATTGTTATTGTCCTAGGAAATGACAGGGGGACTCTAAAGAAATGGCATTAAGGCTGACACCAGAAGAATGTCAGTGGGCAAACTTGACTGTGGGTAAACTTGTTCCAGGTGGAGCAAGCACATGTGCAAAGGCCCCGGGGCAGAAGGACACTTGACCTGGTCCCCAGACAGGCAGCAGGGCCTAGGGGGTGGTAGAAGCAGGGAGGCCAGTAGGGAGGAGGCTCCTGCAGTGGTCCTGCTGGGAGAGGGTGACAGTGTGAGAGATCTAAGGAAACGTGGACACAGCATTTGCAGGACTTGCTGGGACCAGATGGGAGGTGGGCCCTGCGGGGAGGAGCAAGCCAAGTGTGACACACCTGTTTTGGCTTGTGCAGGTGGTAAGTGGTTGTGGCGTTCACTGAGGTGGACATGACAGAGGGGAAAGGTTGGGAGGGAGGCTGCAGGGTCCTGTCAGATGGCACATGGGCAGCAGAATGCCCAGGGCTGCAGCTGGAAACCAGGGGCCCTGGCAGGGAAGCGCCAAGGAAGTGGATGGGGCTTGCAGGGAGGGCGGAGAGCAGCCAGAGGGGGGCGCAGCCGTGGGCCCTGAGAAGTGGGGTGGGTGGGGGTAGTGGGGAAGCAGAGAGCGAGGGAAGGGTGTCGGGGGTGAAGCAGCACACGGGACGCCCTCGTCCCCCCAGGAGGGAGAAGGGCCCAGTTCATCCCAGATGAGGCAGTGGGCTAAGGACTCCGTGCCTGCCCCAGAGGTCCCTTCTGCCCCGGCCTATGCTGTGCGCGACCGGCAGACACTTAGGCCCAGGCAGGGGATGTGCCCTCCCCTCCCCTGGTCTGCTCAGAAACAGCCAGCGACTCCTGAGTTGTCGTGGAATGGACCCCTCGGCACCTGCCCTGCCAATGGGGGAGGCCGGTGGCCCCTCAGAGACACAAGACCTGACACCCCTCCCCCACCTCATCCCACAGGAGGTGTTTCATAGAGAACGAAAGAGCAACTCCCTGAAGACATGGGGCCTGCGGGCAGCTGGCTGGCTGGCCATGTTTATGGGCCTCAACCTCATGACCAGGATCGTCTATACCCTGGGTAGGTGTGCAGAGACAGGTGGGGGGACCTTGCTCACCCTCATGCAGCCCGTGTGCCACCTCTGTGCCTCTCACCACCAGTGTGCCTTCCGGCTGCAGTGCTCCTCAGGGCGGAAACCGGGGCTGTGTCCCACCCGCAACACTGAGATGAACAGGCTGAGGAAGGCAGACGGGGCTTCCAGGGAGGGGGATTAGCTCCTGGGGGGCTGGCGTAGCCCCTGTGATCTGTCCCCAGCCCACCTGCTCATTCCTTTAGCTCTTCATTCCACAAGTGAGCGGGCGAGGAGACGAGCCAGGCTTTGCAGCGAGCCAGACCTGAAGTCTGCACGTCAGAGCTCTGGATACTTGGGTCGTTCCCTTTCCTGCCTCAGCTTCAGTTACCTCACCCTCAAGGGCGGAGTTTTGTGAATGTTTGGCAACTAGGAACCCCCCCCCCCAAAAAAAAAATAAACCATAACGCTTCCCTCCTCACCTCAAGACCTGGGCTAGATCTGGGGCAGCCAGCACGTCGGAGCGCACGGCAGAGTGCTGGGCTGCTCATGGGGCCAGACTCAGTTGCTAGGTCCCCATGTGGCAGAAGGCTGAGGCCTCAGGTGACCGAGTCCGAGCCCACGGTGTTGAACTGGGAGATGGTGCTCCCCAGGGGACCTGCGGCAAACCTTACCCCAGTGTGTTCCTACCCAGATGATCCCATCCAGCCCACACTGGGCCCCAGCAGAAACCTCTCCCCCAGTTACTCTCTCTAGCTGGCAAGAGGCCTGGCCACATCCCTCCCAGGCTAGGAGGGGAAAGGACACTGTCCCCCCTACCACCACAGCTGGCATCTTGCACACCATTTGGGAGAGATCAGAATCCAATCAGAATCCCCCAACCCCAACTTCCCTTTGCACTGAGCCCCTCACAGTTGTGTGACCCCAGGCAGGCCATTTCCCCACTCGGAGCCTCCTTCCCCCACTGTCAGAGGACCCTGTGATTCTGCCCTCATCTGGAATGCTGATGCTCCAGACACAGGGCAGAGGTCAGGGCCTGGAGGGGCTAGAAGTGCAGGTGGAGGGCCTGGGGGAAGCTACAGAGCAGAAGCATTCCTTTGCTCTTGTTTGGTCCCTACGGACTTAGTGAGCACCTGCTGTGTGCACCACACCGCTGGAGGCCCTAGGGTGAACAGTGAGCAGGACAGACAAGGTTCCTGTCCTCTCAAGGCTCAGAACCATAGCTAAGAGCTCAGGCTCTGGGCTCAGTCTTGGGTTTAGATCCTGGCTCTGGCACCTTCTAGCTGTAGGACACTGGACAAGTTGAACTCCCTGGGCCTCGGTGACCTTGTTGGTAAAATGAGGATAAGAACTGTACCCGCGTCCCTGGGCAGGCAGGAGGATTTGGGGAGATGATCCACAGAGTTGAACAGACCAAGATGAGCCAAGAGGTGGCCTGCAGGGTCCTGGAGTCACGGCAGGGCAGCAGGCCTTGCTCTGCAAACCCAGTGGCAATAGACCCCCAGGGCCTCCTGGAACCAAGTGAAGATTCCCCCCACAGACAGACGTCAGCTTCAGCATGCCAACCTGGAGGGGTCGACAGGCCAAGGACAGCTTAAGTCCAGGTGGATTAGCTGTATCCCAGACTTTCCCATGTTGGGCCAGCAGCCAGGGAGATCCTTGACCGGGAAGGGGGGGGGGGCAGCTTAGGCTAATTTGTTTCCCTCAGCCCTGCACAGAGCTGGGCACAGAGATAATTGGTAATGACTTGAATTAGAATTAACAGACTCCTCCAGGAATGGCTGAGGCACCCAAAGAGGCACCCGTAGAAGGTTCTGTGCAGTCCCCTTTGTGAGTGTGCAGCAAACAGAATCTGCCACCATCACGGGCACATGTCTTCTCTTGGCCTCAGACTGACAGCCACATTCATAGTTGAGAGGTTACCAGGCATTTCCTCCTGCCTGCTCCCCTGGAGCGGTGCATGGGTCGAGGTGTGCACCCCTCCTCTGGACCTGCCAGCTCTCACAGGAGGTTGTCTGCCTCCCACCACCACCCCTGTCCTGTCCTCACTGGGCATCAGGGACCCTTCCCCATCTGTAGACAGTAAGGATCCGCTCACCTCCTATGACACAGAGCGTGGTGGCCTCGGAAACCTCACGGCCTTTCTTTTCCTCACAGTGGACTGGTTCCCCGTCTTCCGAGACCTGGTCGACATCGGCCTGAAAGCCTTTGCCTTCTGTGTGGCCACCTCACTGACCTTGCTGACCGTGGCTGCTGGCTGGCTCTTCTACCGGCCCCTGTGCGCCCTCTTCATCAGCTGCCTGGCCCTGGTGCCCATCATCATTGCTCGGACACGGGTGCCAGCCAAAAAGCTGGAGTGAAACAGGCCCTGGCCCCCGCCCAATACCCACATGGTCCTCAGGATCCAGCTCCCCCAGCCTCGCCCTCCCCTGCCCCTCACCCAAGCATGAGTCCACGACAGTGCTGCTCTGCTCCTCAAGGGGTCAGACTTGGCAGTGTGCATGGACGTCAGGTTTGGTGTTCAGCAGTTCACGTCTTCTTACCCGTGGGCAACTCTGGTGAGCCGAAGGCGTTCTCCTTGCTTCCTCCTCTCTTAGGACTGTGCGTAGCCAGCTCACATGTTTGCTTAGCTGATGTCTGTAGACAGTGAGGTGGTGACACTACACAGACCTGCTGCCTTAGCACTCACTGCCCCTCATCCTTGGAGACAGGCACCAGGGCTCCAGCACGGCCACCTCCTGCTCCATGGTTCCGCAGGGCCAGCCTCATCAGGCACCTCCAAGCCGTGCTGGAGTGCCCGTCACACTGGCCTGCACCCCCTAACCAGGGTGCCACACACCCAGCCTGGGCATAGAACCTGCCTTGGTACTTAGAAACACCACTTGTGTCATGGCAAGGAAAATTGGACGTCTGTTGGGCTTTACATGTTATCTTATGGTTTGGCCAGAAACTTCAAGGGTAGGATTTCCAAAGGTCCTGTTTGTTGTTTTCCTTTGTTACATACTTCCATGTATGTAACATATTCTCCTACCTGAAGAGGGATTTATTGCAAATCAGATTGAAAGAAACAAAACACTGCTTGAATGATGAGCAGTTCAGACTGTTACAGAAAAACTTTTAATCCATCTGTTGAAGTCGATTCAGGCTCGGAGAGTGTTAAACAAGAGTGTGACTCAGTGGTTTCACTTGGGGCCGTCTACTTGGGGCCAGTGGGAGGCTTGAGGATACTTTTGAAGCCAGTGTCAGCCAAGGGATTACACTCAGGGAGGAGATGGGAGTTTGTATGAGGTGGAGGAGGCATTTGCTTTCATCCTCTGGCATCAGAAACTGTTGATTTACTTGAAGATGAATTTTTTAGTCAGCCATTAAAGGAAAAGGCTGGAAGCTTTCTGATCCTAAGTGGACTCCCTCGTAGTGACCCCCACCAACCCAAATCAGGAGTCGGAGGCCTGAGGCTTGTGTAGCTCTCAGGCCTCATTCCTTTCATGGTGGGGGGCGGGGGGGGGGGCTGGTGCCTGCCTCTGAGTGGCTTCTGTCACATCCTGCGTCCACAGCTTCACTCCTACATACCATCTACCCACACTTCACTCCGTTCCTCTCACACTCGATGAAAGATCAAGTATGTTGTCACCTTGATGGTTTCAAAGATCCTTCGTATACCCTTTATCTTGTTCCTTGGACTTGTTCGGCCTGGCTGGGAGTGGTGGCTTTAGCAAATTAGTTGGTGGTTGAGTAAGTGATTGAAACTCCTCAAACAAGCAGCCTCACAATCTGTTAGCCTGGGAGGTCTGTGATGTGACTGGAGATTCTTTATGCTGAAAACAGCCAGTCCCAGAGATGACTTGTCTGGATTTAAGAACTGAAATAGTATTCACTACTGCTTATTACACAGCAGTTGTCACTGTATCTCTCCGCTCTTAAAGGATGCTTCTGGAAAACAGTACAACTAGGTAGTAGCTAAATACAAAATCTATGGGATTTGGTCTGTGTGACTTTTTCTAGTACAGATTTTAAGTTACTACGAATTTCAGTAGTGTTCTTCAAGAGCAAAATAATGTTAAGAAATATTTGAAATCTTTGGGAAACCATGAAATTTGTATTATCTTTGTATTTTTTATAAAAATTCAAAATAAATTTCAAAAGTAGCTTTTATAAGACCTTGTCGTTACTTTTTTTTTGAAATTTTCTCTTAAATAATTCAGCCATAGAACTAATTTAAGAACTGGGTGAACTTTTAGAACTCCGTTCTAAGTAGGTTTCAATTTTTCTTAAATGGGCAACTTGATATTTCTAGCACTTAGGAGCCTTGCCGACCAAAGCCCTTTGTTTTGGATTGATGTAAAGGACTCAGACCTCCACCAGCTTCAGAACACGTCAGAAGAGGTGGCTGGAGCCAGAGTGACACTGTCTAATGGGCTCCCCCAAGGCTTTCTGTTGGCACAGACCCGAGCTCCAGCCCCAGGCCTGCTATGGCCTGGCTGTGCGATGGTGGCGAGCCTATCATCTCTTGGTCTCTGCTTCTCATCTAGAAAATGGCAGCAATGCCTTTCTCCCTATGGCACTGTGGTGAGGGCTCAGTGAGCTAAAGGCCATGAGGTGCCTGACATGTGCCACATTAGCTCTTCACTTTTTGCCTTGTGTTCTGAAGCAATGGGCAGCTGCTGGTTGTCCACTCTGGAGCTAACACTGTGTGCTTTTTGTGACAAGATTTGAAGTAGGTGATTTCCCAAAACCACCTATTTCTCAAATCTGAGGTTCAGTTCCACAATGCTTCCGAGGAATGGACATCTCCCCAGATAACCGGTGGCTTACCTCTAGGAGAGGGGGGGCTGTGGTGCCGGAAGCAGGAGGCTCTGCGGTTTCCAAGGCAACCTCTGTTTGTTTCTCACCAGCCCTCCAGCCAGACTCTTGCTACAGATGAGTCACACCGCAAGTGTTTTGTTTGTTTCCCTTGGATAGAACTGGCTCAAATTTTTAATGGCTTCCGTCAAAGGTTAAAGAACATCTTCCCTTGCTAACGCAGAAAGAAAAAGTTCCCTGTGTGGAATGATGAGTTCCCGGTCTACCTGAGAACAAAAACCTGGTCTTTAGTCTTAACATGTGGACAGATCACCCCATCATGCAGGTGTTCTTAGCCGGCAGCAAATCTGGAAGGAAATGCAAAGCTATGTCTTTTTAGATAAAGGTTTTATTTTTTCTCAAAATGTTACAAAAGTTATTTCTCCTGAATATCGGCAATGCATAGAGCGTTTATAAACTTATCCAGCAATGAATAAAATCTAGTTTAACACTGATCCACTTTGACCAACAGTTCTTTAACTCTCAGTGTTTCTCCTTTTCTTTCCTGATTTTAGTTCTTTGTTCCATCTTCTGCCACCCTGAAGTGTTACCCTGAAAAGTAGACCCCAACATCGTAATGGAAGGTGTCCATACTTAGCACCTGCCCGCTCTCCTACACCACAAGGAGGCAGCCTGAGGCAGTATTAGTAAACCCGGCTGAGGACAAAATGAATGGGCCGTGGGAAAAGGGTCCCAAGTCTGCAAGAGGCAAAAGCACGAGAGTCTGACAGATGAAGAATTCACCTGCAGATTCTAAATCACCCAGTGGTTTCTGTAAGAAAACTAACTCATTTCCCAAGAGGGGCTGAGTGCTGTGTAGGCTGCAGGGGAGTCTCCTGCGAAGGGTTCCATAGCTCAAACCAAAGGGGCATGAGACAGCTCTGAAAGCCCTGCTCTGGGTACATATGACAAGGCCTGGGCCAGACCAGACCCATGGCACCACCTCAGCGTCACCCCTCTGTCCCCGGGCCCTCATGGGCAGCACATGCTGCTTCTGTGCTTTCTTAGAGGAGATGCCGCTGCCACCACCTGGGCCTGCGTGGCAAGGGTTTGACGGGTAGCCACACCCATCACAGCTTCTCAAATGGGAACAGGTGGGAGGCCGCTGCCTTCTTTTCCCTTTTGGTCTTCTTAGAGCACTTTGGCTTCTGCTCTTCTTCAGCCTCTCGGTTTTGGGGCCAGGAGGCCGCCAGGATCCTGGATGCTTCTGCTTGAGAGCTAGTCCCCTCCTCTTCATCAGAAGAGAGTCCACCACCTGCATGTGCTTGGGGAGCTCCTGTACCACTCTGGAGAGAGAGGGACAATGGAGGGGAAGCGCAGGCCTCAACCAGATGGAAGGGAGCAATCGGGGCAGCAAAGCCCCCAGCAACAGCCCTTCCTGGAGTCAGTAACTCAGGGAAGGCAGGGCACCGTGTGGGGCTGGGGGAGACCCTTCCTCACACTGGGGCCTCTTCCAAGCAGGTACTAGATATCTTGCTCTGGGCTCAGTGCTGCCAAATGCAAAGATGTTTATGCAGGAAACTGCCTTCAAGGAGCATACAACCAAATCTAGGAGATCGCCAGGCCGGGGCTTTGCACATATTACCTCACTTCCGCACAAAAGTGCACCGATGTCTTCAACTGCACAGACCACCTCTCAGTGCCAAATGCTCGGGGGGGGGGGGGGTGTTCCCTGACCATGGGGCCAGCAGGGCTGGAGAGTGAGGCATGGAGGGTTTGGATGCAGAAGGTGAAAGCACATGAGTGGATGGAGTCAACACAAAGCCTGTTAAAGGTCACCAAAGGGATGTGAGGGAGAAGCATGAAAAAATATTTTTTAAAGACAATCTGCAGCATGTGGGGTTGGAGACAGGGAGAAAGCAGGTGTGGTTATAGCTATTCCCAGCGCACATTTCTGCGTCTGCCCAATGCTGACTTCACCACAGAACTGTGCGGAGGGGCCTCTGCCCCTATGGGAGCCCTATGAGGGCTGCCCATCAACTTTGCACCTGCGCCCACAGGCTGGCCCAGGCCAGCAGGTGCCATGAGATGGGAATTGAATGAGCAACCCCAGGATGGGAGGATGGCCACAGGGAGCAGTGCAAGGCTATGGGTGGTGGGTCAAACAGAGAAACGCGGGACAAGGCTCGTCCCTCCCTGGATGGGTTTAGCCCCAGATCAGACCCATGGCAGGTACACTGTGGTGTCAAAACATAAGCCATTTATGGGCAGACTCTGGGGCCGCGGTTCTGAGACCCCCCCTCTCCTGCCTGGGCTTCTTTCCAAGCAAGCCACACTGACCTCGTCCCCGTAACGAAGCTTCAGCCTCTCCCTGATGAGCAGTCCCCTGGCCAGCAGCTTCCAATTCCCTAGGGCCCGCTTCTCTCTTTTCTGCAGGCAACATGAAATGGATCACAAAATGTTAGGTACCTCCATTTTCAGGAAAAATGTAAAGATGGAACCTTTGAACATATAAAGGTGCAAAAGAAGACTTTTTAGTTAAGAAAGTTTCTCAACCATGCCAAGGCCATTTTACAATGACTGTCATTTATAAAGTGATGCACATAAAAGGTAGCAAGTCCGAAGCCTCTTTTTAGCTGTTAGCGACTATACCATCTTCAAGGAGGAGGCCACACAGACTTGGGACCATGGGCAATTCCTTTCAGCAGAGGCAGGTGTGTGCCACAGGTGCAGCAGCCCCCAGAGCCAGGATCCAGGGACACAGTGGCCAGAGATGGTGGGCTGTGAGGTGCAGACAGGACCCTGTTTATCAGGGGCTGGCTCCACAGGGTGCCTTCCACAAAGTCCGAGAGCTGGAAATAGCTCTGGAGCACACGGCCTCTCCTTTTAACCACTCTGCAAGTGCAGTACCTGCCCCACCTGGGGGCTTGTGTGCCCCTGCCATTCTGCTTTTGCACGCACCTCAGCCCACACCCACACCCACACCCACCCTGGCCGGACTGCTCACCTCCTTCTCCCTCTTTTCAATGAGTGCCTGCTCATTTTCCCAGGCGGCCAGGAGCACGTCTTTGTATTCCTCGCAGACAATGTACCCATCAGTTCTGTAAGGATGCAACACGGATGGTCTTACCTGATCCTGCTGCCTGCTCTGGCCTCTCCCCTCTCCGTTGCAGAGGCCAGCAGGTGGCTCCTAAGCGCCCAGAGCCCTGATGGATTCCCTGCATCAGCCGTCCATAATCCCAGCCACAGCTACTGACAGATGCCACCCATGCAGAAAGCAGGCCTGTGGACTCCGACACCTTGTCTTCTTCTCCAGGCCTGCCTAAGGGAGCTGGGATAAGGGATGCCCAACCCCACAGGAGGACAGAAGCCACCTGACCAGGAAGCATGCTGACACTGCTGGCTCACCCGTCACCACCCCGAGGAAATGGTTTTCACCTAGCATCACTAGCATGCTGTTTCATTAGTTCTGATGCCCTAGCATGGAGGCAGAGTAAAAGCGTGAAGGTAAAAGGTAAAGTGTTAAGGTTGATTTTGCAAATCCAGAGTAAAACCCGGATCATGGCCTCAACCCCCACATCGACTTCTTGCCCCTTCTCCAGGATGTCTCACCCCACCTCCGGCCCCCAGGAAGGTCCCTCACGCACATGGGATGGGAGTAGCCTTTATGGAAGTCGAAGCCAGTGATGGCCTGCACACAGTCAATGTCCAGCTTGCGGGCCACGCGGTGCAGGTTGGGCAGGTTCAGTTGGACACAGCCGACAGGCATCATGCTGGGCAGGAAGAGGTACACATTCCCAAATTCATTCCGGGGGACCTGCAGGGAGTGGCATACTGGGTCTAGATGGCTGCAGGATGAAGCAGGCTGGTCCTGACCCCACCAGGCGCTGCTGCCCTTACCTTGCCGTCCACAGCCACGGGTGGCTGGTACTCCTCCGTCTGCCACTTGCCAAACAGGCCCAGGTCATTTTGGTCCTGCAGCTGGGGCTCGGCGAGGCGGGCTTTCCGGGCCCGGTTGGAATAGCCCTTCACCATCTAGGCCAGAGGGAACAGCCAGTTTTCAAAAAGACTCCCACTTCCTAAGCACTTACTGTGTACTGGGCACTATGCTGAGTGCTTTACACCTGTGGCCTCATTTAACTGCCACGATGAACCCAAGACGATGTGCTCCTTATCCCCTGTACAACCCCTAGTACCACCAGCAACTCGAGTACTGCTACCACTAGCCAACCCCTCAGAGTGCTCCCTGCCCTAGGCACTGTGCCCAGAGCTTCTGTGTGTTAACTCAGATAACTTGTCAACAAACCCAGCAGGTAGGTTCTAACACTGTCTCCACTATACAGATGAGCAGCCTGGGAGGTGTAAACCATCTCCTACA